TTATCATTAGGTAACCGTGCGTAAGTCACGTATATCCAATTTTCAATCGGTGTAGTACCATTTCTTCTTTCTTTTTTAATGAATTATTAATCCATCTGGTAGTACCAAGCCCGGATTAAGGGGGGGCATGGGGGGTCYAAGTCCCCGGGGCCCACGAGTGTAAAGGGCCCATAGTCTTCTCGGCTTAAAATTACATCGAGTGATAATTTTCACTTTTTATAGTACCTACAAGAATATTTTTATTTTTTTATTGGTTGAACTAACATGSGATGGGGCCCGTCGACCGTGTTTACCACCTATAGCATGGTAAGTGGGGACACATAGGACACATGTGGGGATAAAAAATATAATGCAAAGGTGTTGTTGAAGAAAAAAGAAACAGGCTATTTGTGTCTATTTTGGAATGACATATTACAACATTTTAATAAAATATCTATTGATTTACAAAGCAAAAACAATGATATTTTAAAAGCTGTGAATTTGTTGAAAAGTTTAAAAAATGTTGTTTCAAGTTTAAGGGATTTAAACATGGTCTATGAACGTAGGGTTGGAGAGTTTTGCTCACAAATAAGTATCATATATAAAGATGAAAATAAAAGAAAAATTATAAAAAAATTTCCTGATGGTAACAATAAAACTTTAACTGCACTTAGTGGTATTGATAAATTTCGGGTTGAAACATATCATGTTATAGTTAATAAATATTGCTCAGAACTGGACAAAAGAATAAATGCATGTAGTGTAGTGGTTGAAAATTTTTTATTCTTAACTAGACTACATGTTGAGTCTACTATTGATGTTGAGGAAAGTGTTAACAAATTCATCAGTGTATAATATAAAGATGATATTGATGATTCAATAAAGTATGAAATAATACATTTCAAGCAGTTTTGGGATCAGTTAAAACCAACATTTGATGGAAGTGATGTACTCAAGATATTTTAATGGATGACTGAATGTAATGTTATTAATATTTTCCCTAACATTCATATTGCTTTAAGAATATATCTTACCGTTCCAGTTGCTAATTGTACTGCTGAGAGAGCATTTTCGAAGTTGGCCAGAATTAAAAATAAAAATAGATCTTCTCAAACACAAGATAATTTGTCATCATTAATGATTTTATCAACAGAAAATGATGCTCTTCAAAATTTAAGCTTCGATAAAACGTTAGAAATATTTGCTACTCAAAAAGCTAGAAAAAAAACTGTTACTTAAACAATACTTAATTTTATTTGTAAATATATGTTTGTTTTTAATATTTACTACCGAAGTACTTCTTTTTATTGTTTTGAGCATGGGGGCTTGTAGTTTCCATGTGTTGAGGCATTTATTGTTGGTAATTCCATTTATGCGCTTTTTAAGGTCGTTGTAGGACGGCCCTGGTATAGTCTTAATTTTGGAATTTGTGGCAATTTGAGATCTTGGCTTGTTTGTCGGATAGTTCATTTTCTTCAAGGCGAATTTGCCCGAGAATCCATGTGAGAGTGATTTATTTGTTCTTGGATAATGCTTCATTTAATTTATTCATTATTTTTATTGCACTGTCAACGGATTTGAACTGATTTTTCTATGCAAATTGAGTGTATCCAGGGTGTCACCGCATATTATATGGTAGGGTGCTCATCGTCTATGATTCTTTTAATAGGTACCTCTATAGTGTCGCTATTGCCTTGGTAGTGTATATTATGGTGCATCAGTTTGATAACTTAAATAATACGTTGTTGTTTCTATATAGTATTGAGATCCGTACTTGGTCTTGTATCTCAGATGGGTCTGTATAAACTTCTTGGTATTCTTTATAGTTTTCTAATATGCAAGTATTTTTTAAGTATGTTTTAAAATACTAATTAAATGTAACATAGTCTTACAAGTCACATAGTATGGGTTGTTGTCCTTGTCTTGATAGTACTCATCATTGTCTGATAATTCATCATCTGAATAGTGAATAGGTATTGTCAGTATAGGTACATAAGACAAAAAGTTGGAGAAAATATACAACATTTTGATAAGCTGCACAACAACTATTTTGTAATATAATATAATATGAGCTAACCATTTGGTAAATTGAATGTACTGTAGCTAATTTTAAAGAAGTAAGCATGTTGTAAAATATAAATTGAGTTTCTTACATTTGATTACTTTTATTTAATTTTTTGTTAATATTTTATCAAAAATGAACTAATATAATAATACAATACAATTACAATAGTATACCTAGGTACCTACTTAAATAACAAATAGGATGTATTTAAAACAATTTTTTTTTAAGAATATAACTATTTACTACTAATTAATTATAATGTAAGTAATCTTTTTAACTATTTAAAAATAAAACTCACATTTTTCTCCGGTGCTGGTCAAATGTTCGTGGTTTTTTTTGTATGACGCCTATGGACGTCGAATTTAGGGAAAAAAGCAAGTGAATAAAAAGCAAAGGAAAAAAAAGCAAGCGAATAAAAAGCAAAGGGAAAAAAASCAAGTGAAAAAAAAGCATATGGAAAAAAAAGCGAAAACCAATTATTATTATTATAGGTATAAGTTATTACAAATAGTTTGTTGAAAAAAATCAAATAAAAATAATTCATTAATTAAATATATTATGTATATTATAATAAGTCATAAGTGTAGGTATGACATACAGACTGAAGTCTGAAATATTATATTTGGGTAATTTTAAATTTTTATAATCTATAATCGGTGTGCGATTTGGAAACACGTTGCTGTCGTAAGCTATCCGAGCTGCAGCGATAACAAAAATATTGACGAGTTATTTCCAACGATTTTTAAATTGGCAACCGATAAAACGGGTAGTAGGATCCGACACTTATGTCATTAGAATATGACAATAATTATCATCAATATCATCATTGTCATAATTTGGTAAATTGGGGGGTTTGTAAATTAAATTGAATCCCAAATGACCCTAACTCTGTAAATTGAGTCCCAGGTAAAAATAGGTAGTAGGCGAGGCCCAGAAAAAATAAGGTAGTAGGTAATTTGAGTCCCAGGGAAAAACGATTTATATGCATTTAAAATTTAAAAATATGCACTATAAAATTTTTATTTGTGATTTGTGGACAATTCATTGACTGCATGTATATGATTTTGAAAATAGCAATATGCATTTTTTTTTATGCCGGGACTCAACTTACCTACTACCTATTTTTCCCCGGGACTCAATTTACCGCTTTCAAAATGTACCAAACTTATCTCGGACTCAATTTACCTAGGCCCGTTATAATCCTAATATTTATAGGTACTATAGTAGTAATTTTTGTTATTATGTAAAATTTATAACTATAATAATAATTGGTTTTTGATTTTTTTTACAATATGCTTTTTTCTCACTTGCTTTTTTTTCTTAACCCCATGGACGTCATTAGCGTCTCACTGAATAATTCTTTAGCCAGACGCTGTTCGACGCCATTGGGTGTCAAGGTATAAATATATAAATTAAAATAATTATTATTCAAATACTTRAATACTTTATTACAATATTAGTTATAAAACAATCGTGTACAGCTTATTAAACATTTTATAATCACATTTTTATTTTTATTAAAAAACTTAAATATTATTGAAATTTTATACTAACCTCATCTACATATATGTTACTTGTCCTAAATATTTATTCTTGAATGAAAATCATTGAAACATGGTTGTTGACACAGATTGAGTTTTTCTGGGCAAGCATCACAAAAACATACAGTATCTTTTCGAATCTACTTCGTATAACATAGTTGACATATTTTTCTTATTGCTCTTCCATTTTTTCCGACTTCGTGTTTTTTTTGGTAAATGATTCACTTTTGAGGATAATAATCTTGGTTATGGAATTTTGGTAGAAGAGCGCTCAATACAAATAATCGATAGTCGTATAAAAGCATATGTTCGCGCTCAAATCTTGTTATTATTATGTTGGTGGCAGTGGGCTTATCAGCAACAGCTGTGCGGTAACCACGACTGTCCACCGGCAAAGACGGCCGGCGTCTTGATTGTCAGTTATCATTTCTTTTTTCTTACATCTGCCGAGCAGTCAACACGGTTACGTAGAATACTTCRAAGTTTGTTTTCTTTTGTACTTTTGTACCTTTGTCGCAGCCGAGTCTGGACAACGCACATGGTTTCGTTGCCTTTGTTAAAGGTTCTTTTATTATTCTTGTCGCAACCGAGTCTGGTCAAGTAGTAATTTTGCATTATTTTATTACTAGTTGCAGTCGCCAGTCACTGAGRAATCTGGTAAAAATTGTTCCTATATTATTCATCATTGCATTTGTATTTATATCATTTTTCCTAACTAGGTAGTATTTATCTAATTATTGTTGATGCCTGGTGCGAAGAACTCAGCATTAAGAAATCTGCGGTTATTATTGGTTTTTGTGATCTCAGCGTGTCTAGTCATTGTGTGGTTAGCGGTGTTGAAGCATATGTGCGGGATCACACCTGTTATTTTCTTATTGTATAATTTCTTAACTACGGATCCCGGCATTGCTCAAGCCATAATCATACCTAGGTAGGTGGTGCACCACTATTTATTTATTATTATTATTATTATTTGTAGCTTATGATAGTTGCATCTATTAGATATTTGTATTATTATAGCATAGAGCACCTCTGTTATTTGTAATTGCTACTATTATTAGTTCAATAAACATATCATTTTATTTGTTTTTTTTTTATATTGATTGAATTGTTACACCAAAAATTATTTATCAATTGTTGTAGCTAAATTATTTAAATTATTAACCAAATTTGGTATTTTTATTATACCAATGGTGAGCACATTATATCATATTATTGTTATTCTAATAGTGAACATATTTATTATTCTTATATTATACTAGTCAGCAACATATTCTTATTTTCTATTTATTATTAAATTAGACCTAATAAAATGCAGTCCACTTAGTAGCCCAAAAATCCTTATTCGATATACTGTTAAGAAACAGGATGTTTACTAATATTGTAGGCGCCTAAATTAATAACAGCATATTAGATCAAATTTTATACTTATTATATAAGTAAAATGAGTTCATTAACAACATTTGTTCAATATGTATCCCAATTTTTTTGTACCATCGAATAGTTTTTCTAATGCAAGGATAGTAACTTTGCATTTGGTCCTGACGGTCTATACCACTCATGAACTTGCTATAGTTAACAATAGGTTCTGGTTTAGTTTGATTATGGCCACGTGTATTTGTAGAAACTACCAAGTTATTTTTAAACTCTGTTGATATATAAGCTACCTCTCTTTTGTCTCTCCGCTTTCCAATTACCACGCCATTTGAATACCTAGCAATAGTTTCGTCCTTCTTCACTTCTACTAGTGTATTTTTCCTATTTAATCTCAACGTTCCGGTACAATACGTATTTTTCTGAATTAATAAAGTTGCCAAATCAAAGCTGTTGTAAAAATTATCCATGTACAAGGAGTGACCATTTTCTAATTTTTCAGACATTAAATACAAAACTACTATAGAAGCATTACCTTGTCCTTCCATATCATCAAATACTCCAGTATAAACAGCGAACTTTATAACTAAACCATCCGGTTCTGTTAGCATATAAAGTTTTATGCCATATTTAAGGCACTTATTTTGAATGTATTGCCGAAAAACAAGACGTCCTCTCCACAAAACCATAGATTCGTCAAGGGAAAGCTCTTTTTTTGGATAGTATATAGCATTCATTTTATTATTAAAATAGTTAATTAATGGTCTTACTTTGTACAAGCGATTTAAAGGTTGTGCTTGGTCATCAATATTTGAATATGTTGATATATGTTGTCCTGCAAGAAGCTACAAAACATATTCAAGACCAACAGACCGTAATAATTGTGAGAACATATTTAATACAGTATTTAATGAAGTAAAATTAGATGCTTCTAAAATAGATCGTGGGTTAAAGTTACCACGGCGTAGTGTTAAACTAGTACATCGCAAAAACTATCCGACTTACGATGTGGAGGTATATTTTAGATTTAGAAAATCTTTATTTATACCATACTTGGAATTAWATGTCTCTAAAAGATAGATTTCAGATGAAAAATTCAAAATATTTGCATTATACAACCTACACTCATAAAATATGAATCTAAAAGGCGACCAACAAATTGTAGGAAGTGTTACTTTATTTGTAAACTTTATGGTTCACTTCTAGACAATTTTAAAGAGCAAGCGTTGTAATGGTATGATCTATGGAAAAAGAAAGAAGTCGAACTCTCTATGAAATTAATTGATATTCTCGATTACGCCACATATTACCCAGCGGTATGCCAAACAATACAAATTTCAATTACTTAACCTGTAACTTCCTGCTCAGTAGAAAGATCGTTTGGGTATGGTTTTTAAATAAAATTTTTTACAAAATATTATTCTGTGTGTAAATTCATATTTAACAATAACTTTTTTATTATGTTTTAGCACTATACACCGTTTAAATATATGGGTTAGAAATAGGATGGGAAACAAAAGACTGAGTAGCTTGGGGTTAATTAATATACACCGCCAAAGGTATGATAAAAWTTTTTTTAATCAATTAGTTTATTTGCTTCTAACAAAAGGAGATTGTCATTACTTTTTGAATAATATGTAATATGATGTATAATGATTTTGTCAGTAAAACAAGAAATTATAAGCCATTTTAATCTGATGGAATATGTAGACTCATTTACGTTGGCCGTCCTAGTGTATCGGTTCTATAATGTTCTATGGTTATACTAAGGTATTAGGTATATGGTTACAAATCCTAGGATTTTATTATTTACTCCATTGATACCGGTTTATCTTAACCATGGTGGCGATAAATGCGGTGTCAGTGAGAGATCTTACTATCTTAGATCGGAATCGGTCAATAGTTATTAGTGATTAAGATCATCATGCTACAAGAGTTGTAGTTGACGTAATTTTTTCCATCGTCCTGCTGTAATTTCGTTTGATAGCAATTTCCTAACTACTTTTAATTTTTGGTCATCCGTATTATTATTATTACAGTGTAAGACGGTACAATTGAAAATCCATTGTTAGCAGATACTTTTTGGCTGCTGATCTGTATTTACTATACATCAAAATCATAGAAACTTGAAATTATTTGCTTCAATATTTGYAATTGTTTACAATAGTAGTATCCACGATAATATTTAAAGTTATTAAGAAATAGGTATGAACTATTCCAAACACATAAATAATTTTTTGTTTTATTTTTGGTACAGTATCAACAACTAAGGTAATTAGCTTATAATAATAATATTAACTTCATATTAATGAGTACATTCAATTTCTTACAGTGCCATCGMCAGTTATTATCTTCACATAAGATGTTCCTACATGGGATCTTAGACTGACCTTAATATTTTTTTTATGTAAAATTTTAGGCATTTCATAGATTAATAAATAATAATTAATCATACAAAATACATATACAGTTTTTATAGTTAACATTGTTTTGAAATGGCTCTGGTCTGACTGTTATCATTGTATAACAAATTTAAAATCATTTAATGTTTAATTTAAGTTAATTTAAAATGCAATAGTAGTATTATCTAGAGCTTGGATTCAACTTAGGGTTATATTTTCTATACTATTATTAATATTACATTGTGACCTTATATAAAAATAATGTTTTTAGTAAATCGATAGATTTTCACACTGTGTTTTCATTGGATTTTCAAGATTCAACAATTATGCCTCAAGACAGAAGTTCAATTAATCAAACCAGCTCAATGGATTTTACTGATTTTACTTATCCACTACCATGCCTTGATATTATGACATCAAATAACAATTTATTATTAACTCAAACACTTGATAACATTAAGTATAAGGTTATAATAATATTTAATATTATAATATTAGCTGAAATAATTATGGTTTAGAATAAAATAATATTATTTTCCAGCTTTTATTAAATATTAATACTAATTGGTTTTTTTTCAACAAAAATTTTTATTGGTAGGTATTTTGTTTACAAAAATTGCATATGCATCAGCTTAAGCTAACTTCATACACAATAGATAAGTTAATAATTTACATAAAATACTATAATGGTTAATAATAAATTATAATTTTATTGACTACATTTTATATACACACGTTTTATTTTTGAATGTAATATACTGCCCATACTATGGATATGTTGTTTTTTAGTAATGATTTTAATTTGTGTTTTTATAAGCAATGTGTATACAGTAGGTACACAGTATATTTTATAGATGAAAAAAGTTACTCTTTAATTTTTTTTTTCAACTTAGTATTTTTGGAATATTTTTAAGACTATTACTATTATTTAAATGGTTATTATTCGAAAAATTGAAATAACAATAGCAATAAATAACAGGATTATGATACTTTAATCAAATAGGCATTTCAAAGCATGTAGTATGAATAAAAATACCTTATTATTTAGATAATTTATCTATTTAATATTTAGAGTACCAGATATTTATTTTTTTACTATTTTAATATAATATATATTTAAATGCATGCTGTATATTTTTTTAAATATAGATTCAGAAAAGAAAAATCAATGGACAAAATATTCTATGCATTAATTTATCACCGTATATATACTCGGATTTGATGGTGATCTTGGATGACCTAGTCCAGAAATTGTTGCCTTCAAGCAATACAAAAACATTCGCTCATATATTCTTTAAATACTTTGATACTGCGCTATACAGGGGAGATTAGTAAGTGACAAATATCTAGACTCCTCATATTTTTATTTTTATTCTCTTTACACTAATCATTATTCTACTTCTAATCATTTGACTGTGATCATCAGTGGTTAATCAATTTCACTCGTCATCTATTTTGACAGTTATCACTTGGCCATGTTGCGATCAAACGGGTTCATTGGATCGGATATTATACTCATGGCTAAGCTGAAAGATGTCCAGAAAATTTTTAAGCAGCTCAAGAAATTGGTGATAATGAGAAAACGCATTGCTAAGAATGGCACAGGTATGGCACAATCCAACTAGATTGGCCGGATAGCAAATTAGTAAAAAAAGTATAGAATTAAATTCAAGATTTGACTTTTAAAAATTGTTAATTCTAGATAAATATATAGGTGATCTATTATTTAACAATGTAAATAAAAATTTATTAAAAAGCCTTGAGTAACTTCCTTTTAAAGTTGAACTATAGATTATAACAATTTATTTAAAAATTATAGCTATTTAGATTATCATAATCATTACACTTATATGAAAATGTTAACCAATTGATCAATTAATGATTTAAACAACAAAATGTAAAATATTCTTAAACAACTATTGTATTTTTCATAGTTTTACATAATATTTTTGAACTAACTGGTAGATACAACATTTTTAAATAACTTTTAAAGATTTTCTTAATAGTTTTTACTGAGTTTTTCTTTAAGAAATTGAAGCATATCATTTTCCATTAAATAATCTTATTTTTCAAAATTTGGTTTTTACAGTTTTACTATTTTTTTTTTATTTTGAAGGATAGTAATATTATATCAGGGATCATCAAATGATGGCACCAAAATCGAACATCCATAAATATATTTAATTTTAAAATAACCTAAACAATGAATAAATATATTAAAATATAAATTATAACTTTAACTACAGCTAGTATTTTATATTGTATAAAAGTGACAAAATCCCAGATATYTGATAAATGAATTATAATTTAGATATGGACAACTTATAGAAAAATCAATGCAAAATTTTTTTACTAGACTAAAAGAAAAAGCAATGTAAATCCCCCGCCTTTGTATCAAATTATGTTTTATGATGCCCCTTTAAATATTGGTACTAATTTATTGCATTAGGTATTTATTTATTGTAGAGATGTTATGAACTGTTCGATTTTCGAACCGAACTGGAAATTCCAAATAATCGAACTGAACCAAATATCTAATAGTTCTGTTCGATAATCGAACCAGAGAAATAAAAATAAAAGTCTATGGAGTAACGGCTAAAATTATAAATTATAATTAAATAATTAATAGATTAATATTAGTTGTTTAATGTTTGCTTGTTTTAAATATTGATGTTTTTCGCTTTTTCTTATCAGTTATCATCATATTAATAATCAAAAATTAAAAACCTCATGCATAATAATTATTAACTATTAAAATATTTAAAGTATTTAAGTAAATAGTAGGTAGTAAAATCTTTATTCAATAATTCTGAGGTATGGTGGCTAAATGATAAATAAATAAATAAATATTTAATATTAAATAAAATAATATCCATTTTAACTTTTAATGTTCGGTTAGAGTTCAATAAAATATTTGAAGAGTTYGGTTCGGTTCGGGTTCGATTAAAAGTGTGTAGGTTAGATCTGTTAGAGTTCGTTAATTTATAGAAAAGTTTGGTTTGACCTTAAATATTATGGTCGGTAACATCTCTAATGTATTAATTATCTTATTATTTTCCTATATTATTTAAATTTAAGATATATACTACAAATTTTAATTAATTCAATGTTATTTATTAAATAATAGATATACAATTAAGATGAAATGTATGAACAAATTATTTAGTTTTTTGACACAATATTATTATTGCCATATTAATAAAACTCGTCCAAACTAATCTAAGTTCACTATAAGGTTGGTTCTGAAAGTTTTTTACAAATAAAAATGTATATAATATATACTTCAGAAATCAAGTTCTAATAAGTTAAGTAACAAGTATTATCCGATTAAGATA